TTCCAACAAATCACAATTTCTAAGCGTTCCATGACCGTCTCCCCATTAACCTCAGCTTTCCAAGTAATATTTGTCGTAGATTTGCCTCAGCCTCAGATTGCATATAACTTAAGTGACGATTAACGTTTCGGTTGAACCGCTTCTTTGCCTTTTAGTCGAATGCATACTTGTGTCTCACAAGGTTACCTTTCCAAGATACAAAAGGATGTTTTATGGGCTGAGTAACATAAACGATCAAGCTAACCTTGATATGAGTGGAGCTGTTTGTCGGCACCCTGAGCCTAATGTTTCTCACGATATTTCTATAGGTTTTTGGAGTCCAAAGGTTGGATCAGAGAAAACTCCAGGGGACCTCCGAAACTATAACACTCTCTAAGTTTGATAATGCTGTTGGAGCTCCACTCTAAAACCAAAAATAGAGGTTCTTGGATATTCTTCCGAAAGGGGCTTTTTTGCAGTCCGCAAGGATAGCATGGGAGTGAAAGGAGGTTTCGGGATGAGATATGTAGAGACATTGGTGTATGTGAAGTGAGGAGAGGGAGTTCAAAAGGCAAGGATCTGGTAACTTTCAGTTATTTTTCTTATCTCGACTGGTAATTCTGTTTGCCCAGTCACGGCTGCTCCAATCAAGGATTTGTATTTTCAACGTTTTAATTAAGGCCTTTGTTTCAACCTTGGTTAAGAGTTGAGCACTTCTCTCGTCGTGTCATGATCTCGAAAAATTAATACCACAAAATGAATGTCATCGAATGAATCTAACTGTTCGAGGCTGATCGAATAGGAAGCTACTGGCACGAGGAAAGTGTAATTTCAATTCTTTGTTTTGTATTTTCACTCTTCCCTCCTTGACTGTCTGCCAAGTTATTGGTTGTCATCTTGTGTGAGCGAAAGTGTAAACCANTTTGCCCAGTCACGGCTGCTCCAATCAAGAATTTGTATTTTCAACGTTTTAATTAAGGCCTTTGTTTCAACCTTGGTTAAGAGTTGAGCACTTCTCTCGTCGTGTCATGATCTCGAAAAATTAATACCACAAAATGAATGTCATCGAATGAATCTAACTGTTCGAGGCTGATCGAATAGGAAGCTACTGGCACGAGGAAAGTGTAATTTCAATTCCTTGATTTGTATTTTCACTCTTCCCTCCTTGACTGTCTGCCAAGTTATTGGTTGTCATCTTGTGTGAGCGAAAGTGTAAACCATCATGATTCCCTGCTTTGAAATTGTTTCTTTTGTAACAAGTTTCGGGTCCCGAAGCAGGCACTATTGTTGAAGGGAAAGACATCCCAAATGGGTTGGCCATGTCGCAGTTAACCAGTTTTTATCACCACCTTTACCTGTAAGAGGATTCATCTTCAAAATGAAGCGGTAGATAACTAACTTCTCGTTCTCATTCATAAATCGGCCATTTTTTCGTAAGGGGAGACGTCAAGGTTTCCCGATGAATCAAATTCACCATTGCTTACGCATTATGTTTTGCTGCAGGGGAATGTTGCTGTTTCAGAATGTTTCCGATGTGGTTTCGACTACCAATCGGAGTGCTCGAAACCTCCCGTAAAATTTTTATAGATCTTCTTAGTGACGTGGGATCGCTCCTGCGTCGGCTCAAGATATTGATGGGATGAAGATTAGAAGGATGAGAAGGATTTGGCTGTGCCATGGATATTCCCTGTAATTTGTCAATCAATTAGTGACTTCCGAAAGCATTCGGCTTCACATATGTTCGCGTCTGTCTTGGTTAACCCTTAGCCTTTATGTCTACGTCCCTTCCAGCATTTTAGAACGGTTGGTAGAAGACGAGTGCCGAGCTATTGTCCAGCAACCAATGCTGTTACTTTTAACAACCATTATAACTGTATACAAAATACAATGAAAGAGTAAGGATAGGATTTTGTTCCTTCTCCCAAATGGATTTACTCATTTACATTTGATTTCTATTCAGGCCACTAGGTGCGTTCGAACGCATTTTTGCAGCTTTGTTATAGGCCACAGTTGGTGGGATAGTCCATGTTTTTATTTCCTTCAAAGCACCTGATACCAATCGATGGCCCTCGGGAGATGGTGCTTGGCTTGGGCAAGTACTGATCCGAAACTTATTCTGTGTGTAGTGGCGATTTCACTCAGCTTCTCCTGGCTCTACCTCACAAAACGTACTAGTAAACAAGAACCCTAATTCTCATAACCGCAAGTGGATATGAGTTGGAATGCTTGGGATTGAGCATTGTCTAACCATGAACTTCACTTCAGATCCTAGTTGACGGATTCGGCTCATACTAAACATTGTTTTGAATAATCAAGTTGGACATACGTCGGTAATATCAGATTTACAGATATGCCTACAAAGCAAATTATAAGGATATGGAAAATCCGATTGATGTGGCTGGATTTGATCCTGTGAGTGGTTTCAGGGTAAAGGAAGCCTTTTCCAAGTTCTCCTAGTTCTTAACCCACGAATGGGTACATACATATATTATACATATGTAGGTAAAAACAACGAAAAGACTACCATTTCGGAACTGTCGAAAGTGGGATCACTGACAGAAAACCTACTCGCAAGGAGCCAATCTTATCTGGGATTGCGGTCCGAAAACTTCTAACTGGTCAGCTTTGGATTGAATGAATGTTCAATTCCTACGAAAAATCGTCATCGATCCAGGCACGACTTTGTAGTCGCCCACGTGGGAGCACTCATTAATTCGACAGCGATCATCTTCGTCAGGGCTCCGGGGATTCCACCGTCGAAGCCGGCGAATTTCGCTTTAGGCGACGCTCAAAAGCGACCTCCACCACTTGAGCGGGAGGATAAACTGTAGTGCTCCAGTGCTCTTAAGAATTACTCATTTCTCTTTGGTGAACCCCATATGCACTGACAACAATAATGGTAGACGATTAGCAGACGGTCACCTGGTCTACATAATTCATTATGATGTGCTACTGCTGGCCAGGACTACAGTCTAGCTAATTGAATCGCCCTCATCCTCCTGTTTTCAGCTGGGATTCAACCATTGTCTGTGATTGATGTTATCAACTTTGAGCTTTAGTAGACCGTTTGAAGCTACGAGTGAATCGACTTATTTCTGTCCTTGCCCTTGTCAGTTCTCTCAATAGTTCACGCAGGTTCTTTTCATAAATCTCGAACATTTTTTTTTATGAGAGCACAAGCCGTTATCTAGAGGCTTTGCGAGGATAGCAGGGATTGACATTTGAATCTAGTCAGTTTCCCATTCTCTCAAGTCGTTTCTAGCAGAGTAGACTAAAACACATATGGAACGAAGTCGAATAAGCTCCCATTGTTTATTCCTACAGCTGTGTAGAGATGATCGTAGGCTTACACACTGATCGCTATTGTCCAGCCTACAGTAAAGGGGTGCGCTTCGTTGCGCGCGTCCGCCGAAATTAGGTCACGTCGCAGCCATCGCATGCGGCGGGTCGGCCCGCGATCTTTGGCAAACGTCGCAGTTGACAGCGGTGCATACGAATTGCACTTGGTCCACGACAGTGAGCAAAAGAGAAGATAATATGGGCAAATGCAAATTATTCGCTCCACCGGCACCTGGTGGTACTATAGTGTCGTCTCGAGACCTCAGTGGGGTGCGCCGCGCGCGAAATGGGCGGAGTGACCTACTTTAAACGGACGCGCGCAACGGACGTTCTCCTCAGAAAAGGAGTCATGGGTAATTTGCATATTCGTTTCTGTTGGTCTCGGAACTCAAAACTTGACCCATGTTACCTTACATCGCAATCACCTATGGATAAATTTTCAGAGTTTAAAATCGCGAGAATTCCACGTTCGTGGTAGTGGGAAAGGGGGAATATTTGTAAAGTATTACCCGCAGATCGGCACACCGCTTTATTTTTATTTCTGATTATTTCCAATTGTTGATTGCCAACCCTACGAATATTTTGTTGGACTATGCTGCAGTGGGCTGGTTCATATAGAACCGGCTGACATAACTAAAACAGGTCCACAAAGTTTTTATAATCAATACATTTTGATTTACAGTTGCTTTTTTGCTAGACGTCTGGTAGCCATCTGTCGTTTTATGAATGGGTAACCAGTAACCCTTGTCGATTAACAGTTCTTATGTTCTGCAACCAAAATCTGTCTAAATCTTTTCTTTTCTATTTTCTCGAGATTGGATTCTGAGGCGATCCCTATCACGGTGAGTTCCAAGAACTGTTGAACTCTGCCCTCATTGCGAATCATGGCAGCTGTTGTTCATCACTTTGGTTTCACCAGCTCTGCCTTCGTTGCCCGGTTGTTGCTCCAGACTGCCTCTTTGCTCTGTTCCAGTTAACTCTATCCATCACAATTTTGTGGTCTTTGTTTACTTCTTTTTGCCTCTCAACCGTCTCAAATCAAAAACCATTCACATGTACTAAAGTACGTTCCCTACACAATTTGTAAATTCAAAAATATACCTAATGAAGTCTGGATTGAATAATAAACAGCATAGGTAGTAAACAAGCTCAGAAGGTTATTCTTTCGCAAAATAAGAAGCCAAAGGCGACGTCCTTGCCTGATACCCAAAACGGCTTGTTCACGCTCGCTGCCAACCCAACCGAATGCAGTTTTGTGGGATTCCAAGCGATCAAATTCATTAGGTTCCCAAGAGAGAGAGTTCCACCAAGAGAGAGAGTTCCAAAACAAATTGGGTTGCTTAAACGATCTTTTTTTTTCATATAGTCGTGGAAAAAGTTGTCTATTGAGGAACTAATTTCGGGTAGTCAATCGGTTTTTCCCAATATGGTTTCAGACATACAATTTATTCGCTACGAAGACTTTTCTCATACTTTTTTACGTTGCTTCATCAATGAAATGTTTCTTTCACACTTTTTCAAGTGGCAGTTCTCTTCCATTTCGCCCTTTCGTCGTGTTTGCACTTTTTCAAACAAATCTNCACATCCTAGTCACTCTATAAACTGAGAGACGTGTCTCGATGTTTGACTTCGAGACGACGAGCGACGCAGAAGATCAATCTGGATCAGCTACCAGTTTGCAGATGTCCGAGGACGGGCCCGTGCCTCCTCACACGCCGGGGGCCCTCCGGTCCGATGAGATCATGACGGACGAAGATTTCGTCAAAGCCATTGAAGAGATGGCCGAAGAGGGCCAAAGTGATTGCGATATTGGAGAGCTATTAAGTAAGGCGCTTATTTACATTCGAGATTGNGAAGATTTCGTCAAAGCCATTGAAGAGATGGCCGAAGAGGGCCAAAGTGATTGCGATATTGGAGAGCTATTAAGTAAGGCGCTTATTTACATTCGAGATTGAAGAGGCTTTTCACAAACAACCATTCAGAGGCGATGAACGAGAATCGAATCATCACCTGGGAGGAAGCCGAGCGTATTCTGAACGATACCGGCAACCAACCGGTGAAGAGCAGTTTGCCAGAGCAGACTCGACCCACAGAGCCGGACAACGACACTGACGTCGAGCAGTGTGTGCAGCGACTTCTCGACAATGATCCAACTCTCAAAGAGGTCAACATGAACAATATGAAAGTGAGTAGGTTTTCAAAGTGGAGAATTCAGAGGTAGATTATGTATTCTCCACTTATGCTTTCATTCTTTCCTCTTAGCACTGCTTCACCACATTTTTCTCTATTTATCATGACTTGGTTTTTAGGATTCCTTATTTAGCGTAAACAATTTTCCAGCGAACGCCTATCCCACAAATTCGGCGACTACTTGAAGCAATGGCATATAATGAACATTGTGAACGATTATCACTTGCAAACATGGGTCTTTACGACAATGACATTGCGGTGAGTAGTAGAGTCTCATGAAAGTGAAACATTTTCTTTCTTATTTTGTTTGTTATTTTGAGCTCACACTCAGGGAACCCCATTTCTCAGTCAGATCTTCGGCAAGCTTTCAACTCTCCTGTTGTTGCGACTTTTAATTCTTTATTTATAGGAGGGAGAGCTCAGTGAGCTGTCAGATGCTTTTGCTTCTAAGCTCAATTTGATAATACAAAAGATCAAATCAGAATAGATCCCGTCTGAGGTTTGCGCCCCGCATTCGAACTCTACTCAGAAGCGTAGTTGCACTCTGAATGCGTCTGTGGCCTATTCATTGTCTTGCGGTGGCCAGTATATGTACAAGTCAGTGCTTTTATCCTCACAGACGAGTCTGGTACCAATTTACCAACCCCGAAGGATAGAAGGCTTCGTTGACATAGGCGATATCGATTCGGGATTCGAACCCATGACCATGCGTGTGCGATAGTGCACCACTTCCACTGCACCACATCCTCTTTTATTTGAATATATGTGCAGGGTTTTCTTTATCGAGCGCCATCAGACCTTAGTGTCCACTAAAAATCTTCCAACCTGTACAATATAGGGTCGCAGCAACAGAAAGAATATCCTATTGATATCAATGAGAAAAATGAGAGTGGATCTGTCTGCAATGAAATCAAATGAAAAGTTGAACGCCGATGTAATCCCGGAGCAAAAAGCATATGAAATCAAATGAAAAGTTGAACGCCGATGTAATCCCGGAGCAAAAAGCATGCATCTGTTCTCTTGTCATGCAATTGATCCCAGAAAATCACGTAGCTTCTCATTCGAATCGACCCTTAGCTCTATGCAGAGCTTTTTAACGCATCCACAATTTTCTTATCAAAGTGGGTCTTCACATCTTCCGAGCCCACAAAAAGCAGAGAACCCTCACTCTCACAGCTATTTAGGGAGGGGTGAGTGAAGGTGGGGG